GAGAGAGAGAGAGAGAGAGAGAGAGAGAGAGAGAGAGGGAGAGAGAGAGAGATCCGAACTCTTCCAAGCTCGGAATAACGCGAATACCTCGTCGCCCAACGTAGCGTGGTTGTGATACGCCGGTGTGATGTCCCACTATTTACAACTTGTTGGCTGTCGTACGGCAAGCATCAGCCTGACGGACGCAGATGATGGGCATCGAAAAGATGAGCGGAGGTAGTCCACGCTCGCAAAAACATCCATCTGGCGAACGTGGACTATCGTTCCTCTACTCGTCTCCGCCATGCCCAGAAACTGCATCCATCGGGCTGATGCCGTGTGATATCCAACGATATAGGGGATGAGACGGAGTAGTCGTTGGGACTTCACGCAATCGTAACACACGCACTCAAAGCCAAACAGACGAGAAGGGCTTCACAGACTCCACTTATGTAGTATTCGTGCAACAACTTCGCGCTTGTTGGTTTCGCTCCCAGGAAATATCGATGACATCATAACAGTGCGTCAATTTCCCGAATGTCCGATAAGCTGCAGGGGCCACATTGTAATGGGGAGGCCCAAAACGCCACACCCACTTGACCCCTCCCTCCGGCGATGTTTGCCATCGGGGTTGGGTTTTCGTCGCTTGACAACGACGTTGTAAAACAAGCCGCCCCCCCCGGTGTTTGCCATCGGGGTTGGGTTTTCGTCGCTTGGCAACGACGTTGTAAAACAAGCCAATTCACTTGGTGAACTCGGCAACCAGGTTACCGAGTGTTTTTTTCACCTCCGTTTTTTTTTTTTGGCGGTAACCATAATGGTGGTCGAGTAGATCATGTTGTGCGGGGTGGAGAACCCTCACTCCGCGCAAGGGGGATGATCGCACCACGTTGTGTTAAAATGGTCAAGCACCCTCGAGGCAGTTACACAGTGCTTACAACTGTCTCTGGAAGTGAAAGCACCAGAAAATAAATTAATTCATACGCAGCTGTCATCCGTACGCAAGGAAGTAAGCACAAGATGCCGAACACCCTTAGCAGGATGCAGCGCACCCTTCATGCGACTCGCCGAATATCTCACGGCGCTTCGCGCTTGGTGATGTGAGAGCCTGGTCCGGTGAGAACCCGGCGTGCTCCGTCCCGGCTTTGTAGGGATGCGAGGTCAATGGTCTAACGACTACGGCATGCACGACTATGAGTACCCCCCCCCCCCCCCCCACCCCCCCTCCCCGACAGACACGCAACCTTGCCTGGATCACAACCGTAAACTATCGACAACGCAGCTGAAAAAAACGAACAGCAAAAACAAAACGTGGCCGACACACGCACAACAAACACAAAGCCCAAAACTTGACCTGCAGAAGACACGTCAACGCCACGAGGATGGTGTCCGGGCCCAGCCGCGACGTCAGGCAGCGTAGATCCGCCTCTTCGAGGTGCGGGAAGCTGCTGTGAGAGGCGTGCGCGTCGCCGTAACGCAGTACTCGGTCGAGTACCCTGGAAAGCCAAAAGCGGAGGGATATTTTGTTGAGGGGGTTTAGTGTATCCTTGTGGCGGTGGAAGGGCCGGAGGGTGACGCAAGGCCTTTCGCTCGAAACGATATCAGAGTGAGGGGAACGGGAGGTGATGGGCAGAAAATGTTCAACGTAAGGGCCGGCGGCGCAACAGGCTGGGCTGGGGGGGCAACAACGCCATGGGTATCTTTGTCGGATCACCTCTCGTGTCATCGCAGACTTCACGCCTGCACATTCGCCTACGTGTGCACGCGAGAGTTTCATTGACAATGTTGTGAAAACATCGACAGCGCTACCCGCGTGACCAAAGGAAACAGGATAACCGCACCCAAAGAGAGGGAGAGAGAGAGAGAGAGAGAGAGAGAGAGAGAGAGAGAGAGAGAGAGAGAGAGAGAG